TTTCAAAACCAATAAAAGAATATTAAAGTAGTTGAAAATATATATATATATATATATATATATATATTTAGAAGTGTAAAAGTTCTGAATTTACATTAAGTCTTAAAAGGTTTTTCTAAATTTAGCGCAGACAAAAACATTTAGAAAAGTAAATTCTAAGTTTACTGATGTTATAAATTTATAAATTATTCATTCAAAAATATGAAATTTATTTGATATTATATGTAGATTTCAAATAAAACTACGTATTTTTATTTTCATTAAACAAGGAATTATTCTACCTTGAAATTTATAATAATTTCGTCAAAAATGAAAATGTGTATTAATTAGCTACAAAATTTTTTTTTACCCTTCCTGTCACTTATTTTATTATTCGATTATAGAATTCAATTTCTATTACAGCAAGGTTTAATATTCGATTTACAGTGATAATGAAAAGGTGTAAGGCTTAGTTTCAACATATTTTCTATAACTGTAACAACTGACGAAAAGAAATTTATTAACCTTTTTGTCGAAATAAGCTAAAGAAAAATAATACATATAAATATCCCATAAACCTGACTCGTGTCGGAGAAACCCGTCAAAAACCTTATAAATGCACACACACACGCATACAGTTACACCTAGCTGTGAAGAGAACAAGAAAGCCTCCTTGCTATGAAACAAATGTTTTCCCAAATCGTGGTAACACAGAAAAGGAATTGCAATTTTCTATGCGTTTACACCACCATGCCTGTTTCATGTTAAACGTAGTTAATCGAACAATTCTTAATATATGTAGAAGGGTGAATTCTAAACTTACAACGTGTCTTTGCAGTGGAAAAATATTTAGAAAGTTGAGATCTAAGTTTACATTAAGTCTTAAAAAATCTTTCTAACTTTTCTAAATCTTCAGCTCCGAAAAACATTTTGGAAGGAATTCTAAATTTACTGCTGTTATAAAATATTGAAATATGAAATTTTATTTTTAACAAATGTAGATTTCAAATAAAATGATATCTTTTTTATTTTCATTATATAAGAAATTTTTCTTCTTTCAAAGTTATAATATTTTTTCGAAAATAAAAATTTGTATTAATTAGTTAAAACATATTACTGTTCCTGCTACTTATTTAATTAATTATTCGATTATAGAATTCAATTTCTCTTACAGCTAGGTTTCAAATAAAACAATAATTTTTTTACTCCACTTATAGTGAGATTTTTGTTTGGAAATGTGATTAGTTTCTACATATTTTCTACATTGCTCTTACAGCTGACAAAGAGAAATTTATTAACCTTTTTGTTGAAATAAGCTACGAAAAATAATACAATTTATAAATATCCCATAAACCTGACTCTTGTGTCAGAGAAACCCGTCTGAAACCTTATAAATGTCCTCACAATTACAACTCGCTGTAAAGAGAACAAGAAAGTCTCCTTCCTATGAAACAAATGTCCTCCCAAATCGTGGTAACACAGAAAAGGAATTGTAATTTGTTATACGCTGACACTAAAACTGTTTTATGTTAAACATGGTACCTCGAACAACAAGTCTTAAGCACTGAAAAAGACATTTAGGAAGGTGAATTCTAAGTTTACGGATGTGTCGTTTTGGGAAAAGCGGGAGAAAGATTAATAACATCTTCTGCTTTCGGAGCTTTTAATGAGCTATCCGTTTTATAAACAGACATTTGGTATAGAGTCCTTTTTGTATTTCCCTAGATAAGCATAAGAATCTTTTATTATATTTTTTAAATACAAACGAATGTCTTTTTACTATCGTAATGTTGAATGCAAATTTTTCAAATATTTCCATCATTATTTAGTAAACAACTAACGTGTTCTTAAAATTATGCTTATTAAATGTTTCTAAAATTTTGTATTTTAAAAAGTTGGTTCTCAAAATTAAATGAATAGATTGTACTAGGATGGATAACAAGATATTATGCATTTTCTGTATCAATTTTGGAAAAATATTATTTTTTAAATAATATAGCCTTACTTAGGCATGAACCAAAATTATATTTTAAACGCCAGATATTTCAGATTTTAGTGTGATATAATGTAAATGACTATTTGGTTATTGTTTTCAAAACAGGAAAAATATATTTAACTCTATATATTCTTATAAAATTATAATAAATTAAAAAAAAAATATGCATTTAAAATCTCAATCAAGTTTAATCTTATATTAGAAAGTTGAATTATTTTAGGTAAACAGGAATGTTTTTTTAACGTTAATTCTTTTAAACAAATGAAAGTATTTTGTAATTTGAATGCTGGTACTTCAATTTAAATAATGAACTGATAAATAACAAAACATGATTTACTCTCCTATACCTTATCTATTTATCGCTTTAATTATGTATTTTAAAAAATATTCTGAAATTATTTTTACATAATAAAGCCATAAAAAATCAATTTAAGACAGTTTTTTACCATTTTTCGTTGGCAACTTTATGTTTTTTTTTGTCAAATCATTTTCATTTTGTTACATTCATGTCTGTCAAGTTTTGAAAATGGGCACCTACTTTCGAAACGCTCAAAACATGTCGACTATCAATTCATTTTTGCATATTTTTTAAGCGTATGAAATTTTAATCGCAAATGAACCATTATTTGAACAATTTATTCAGTAAAATAGATAGAACAGATAGAAATAGTTAATATTTTGTTAACAATAATTGTTAATATGAAATTGCTAATATTTTCTTTACTTCTTTAATATATAGGTTTGAATTTTGAAGCAAGCATAATGCTATAAAATATAAGCTCCTTAATAAAGACACTCTACAATAAAAACAAAGACACTCTATAATAAAGCAAGACAAAATAGACAGACTAACGACACTCTATAATAAAGCACACGCATATTAAATGTTTCTAAAATAACTGTTAAACATATCGACATTTTAGTCCGAAATACTAATACGTTACTGTACGCTTCAAATATAAAATATGTCACACAAACCGATGTGAATGCGTAATCACATTCACATCTCATATAAATAAATAATTATATTCGAATGCGTAAATATTTGATGCTGTATGTCATGTCAATTTTGTAATATCTTAAAATTATGTGTAAGAACCGTTAACAAACCATTGTTTCACAGATAATCTTGAAATCTCAGGCTCATTTCTACATGATATACTACTCTGTTTAGAAAGTCAATGCATGTCAAAGCTTCTGAGGATATTTACCCTTGAATTGTGCCCTAAAGCCAGTGATTCACAATGTTGAGAAGGATATATTCATGTGTATTCAAGATGAAGAATGCGATAAATAATTTTATAAATCTCATCTAATTTTAACAACCAGTTTTTATAATCGTAAGTAATTTTAGTAATCGCAATTTAGAGCTTTTTTAATTATCGTATTTTTGAAAAAAAATTAGCTTTAAATGCTTTATTTTGTGTTCCAAATTATGAAGTTTGATTATTTTCGGGAATATATTACAAGCTGTCCACAGGCAACGTCGTTAGCTTGAGGTTGATTTTAATATTAAACGTTGGATTTTAGGATTATTCGGGTGCTTCGAAAAATGCTTCCTAGATTAAATTATTTTGAATATTTGAATG